CGAGCACCCTTGTGTATGTGCCTACACTTGTGCACTATAATATCTACTGCGGATCTGGCTACTCACAGTGAAACGGGCCGAAAGCGGTCAGGAGAAAATCACAATATTCAAGTTCAATTTTTTTATACTCTTCAAAATTTATCCCGCTGTTAATAAAACATACATTGTCAAAGAAAATGGTTACAGATATTGAATTACGTTTTCATGCTTCTAAACTTTAAAGAAAATAAACTAGAATATATTTTTATTCACATTTTCAATCATATATAACGAGACCATTTTAAGTAAGTTTTTAACAGTCGTTTTAAAAGATTTGTTGTTTGACCCCTCATCTGACACAATAGGTTTTAATACAGAATGACAATAAACAAGATTTAAAAGCCAGCTCATGTATATAACTCCATGAATACTAAATACATGTACACATTATGTACCTCACAAGATGTTTTACTGGCAAATTCTAAAATGTTCTCGGATACTATTAATAACTAGCGACGGCATAACGCGGTAAAAATCAAATTCTTAGGTTTATATATTTGAATACTCTTACAATGCATTTTTTGTTTTTTTTTCTCAGAAATGAGATATTTTCCCAAGGTAAAAAGTATCCTATATGTTGACCCGGATAACCAGCTATCACCATACCAAATTTTATCAAAACCCCACCAGTGGTTGTTCTGTGATGCGGTAACAGACATACAGACAAAAATTCTAAAAATCATAGATTTGGTCTCTGTATCGATAATAATGTATATTTTAATAAGATTTTCCTAAAAATATTTAATGTACAGATTCGGCTTAGTTACAATTTTATTATATGTATAGATAATGTCTTCCTAACCGTTTTTAATTTTTGACACAAATTTTGACATATAGTGTATGCACAGACAGATGTGCACTTCTATTCCTTTTAGTTTTATTGATTCCGGTGGGACGACAATTAGACACAACCGAAGAAAGATTAGGCACAGGAACGACCGCTTTACGTGCTCTCCGAGGCATGAAGGTGGAAAAATGCCATCTGGCATCTTCCCAATTTTGGGGTTGCTACTAGGATTTTATTAATAAAAATCTCTACATAACATAAGTTTAGGTAGCCCGACCCGAGACTAGAACCAAGGACCTCCCGATTTGTAACGTATATGCTAGCCACTAGACCGACGAAATAGCAAATAGAAAAACATTGATAGTCCGTCGTTTACCGTTTATTTTTAACCGTGTCAATTCATAACTGAGCTTTGATATAAGTATGTATTGATATAGTACATTTGTGTGTCGAAGAGTGTAAATATTATTATGTAATCGTTTTTGTAACTGTCGTATATCTTCTTCTGGTATGAAGCAACGAGTGTTTCAAATTCTATACTAATATTATAAATGCGAAAGTTTGTCAGGATGTATGGATGTCTGTATGTATAGATGTATGGAAGTTTGTTACTTTTACACGAAAAAACTACTGAATGGATTTTAATGAAACTTTACAATAATAAAGCTCATGCATCAGAATAACATATAGGCTATTTTTACTATTTTTTATACCAGAAAAATGTACGGTTCCTGTGGGATACATTAAATATTTTTTGGAAAATGTTATTCAAATAGTCATTATTATCGATACAGAGGCCGTATCCATAGTTTTTAGAATTTTTGTCTGTCTGTCTGTCTGGGAACGCATCACAAGAAAACCACTGGACAGAGTTAAATCAAATTTGGTATGATGATAGCTGGTCAACATATAAAATACTTTTTACTGCGGGAAAATATCTCTGAGAAATCTATATTAAACCTTAAAACGTAACTAGTCACAAACACAAGCGGAGCGAGGGTGAGTCGCTAGTGTAATATAAATCTTGTTGTAAGCCACCCCTCGTTTGTCATTGTGTCGATAAAATAGCTTATTTTAATCAATGAAACTTTGTTTTGTTGCAAAAATTTGACCAAGTTTAAAAAGGACAAGTTATTTTTTTGTATATACGTTTGTTACGTAATACCTTTGAGAAGGTATTGGAAGTTGATTTGTTTAATCTTTTTTTTATAAATATGTTGTTCCTTAAGGGTCTCATATAATTAAAAAATATCTACTCCTAATTGGATTATTACTTTTAAATGACATTGTTTTTTTTAATAAACAGCTTTTCTTTAAGTATAATCCCATAATTACATCTTTCGATAAATAAATCGAACACTTTCAACTTTTTAAAATCAGTTCAGTAGTTTTATTTTTGTAGCTGTTATTAAATACAAACTTTATAGATTATATGAAGTATAAATACATAAAACTTTGTTTCAATATATCGTTCTTACTTACCTAACGTAAATCCAATCTAGAACCACCTGGCCGATACTATTGTACCATACACTCCTTATATTATTCACAATAAGTTATTATTATAATTTATACAGATATTCATCATAAAATCTGTGTTTTGTTTAAAAATCTATTGTAGTTTTTTATTTCATGTCAAGATTTATGTACGAGTATAACCTTTCTCAAGTAATAGGTAGTCTTCTTAAATCTTTGTTCTGACTACTTTAAATTTTTCCATTAATGATAAACAAATGCCCGATGAAAGAACCAAATATTATTGGGGGTCAATTTACTAGAAACCCAAGGTGGGTTCCAAATTACAACCCTTTAGGGGTAAAATATCAAAGAAATCCGTCTTAATAGTAGTTTATATTATTATTTTCGACGACACTTTTGGTTTAGTTTGTAGTGATCCTACTTGCTGTGCACGCGATGTGAAATATATTTTTTTCAAATATATATAGATAGATTAAAAGTATTTTACTCCATTCACCGGTTTTCGACTGTGACGAAACTAAACGTGACCTGTATTTATAAATATTAATCAGTTATTTAACATATAATAATATCCGAATCTGGTTAAAACAAAGCCGGTATTAAGATAACAATACGATAAGTTTACAACATTTATTTTAACGTTTATGTGCTAAAAATAGTATAGGTACAATATTATAATCTATACATGTAATAAAATTGTAACTAAGCCGAATCTGTACATTAGATATTTTTTGGAAAATTTTATTGAAATAAACATTATTATCGATACAGAGGCTGAATCTATAGTTTTTAGAACTTTTTCGAACTGGCAGTAGATTCATAACGTTCCATAAAGACATGAAATAATGTTAATGCTGAATAAAACATTTAGAATTTTTGAATTCTTTTGATTTTATGTCAGCGTCATACCTTAAACCACACAAACTAAATATACTTAAATAATATACTTCAAAAATATAATGATGCCATATCTATTGTGTAAAATGAATGCTTGTTTAGGTAATTATTTCGGTTCAAAAGACCGTTTAAAATAAGAGATGGACGGACGGTACGAACTTAGTAATAATACCCGACAAAGAACGTTAGGCATATACAATAAGGAAAAATAATATACGTTTTGTAAACTACCTAGTGCCAATATTTGCTATATAAAAATAATTTTTTTGCAAAATCCTCGAAGCTTTCGGACATCTTAGTGTTTTTACATATAAGTTTTCAAACACGACATTTTAAGGCCGGAAACAATTAACTTTTGTAAATAAAGAAGGTAAATATAAAAAAATAATATTTAAAATAGGCTTAAATTAAATTGACGATTCAAAAGTGGTTGTAACAAGTCTAATTGAATAAAGTTTATTTCGTTTCATTTACTTTTAATTGCAGCTACAAAAAAAGCTATAGGTTTTTGTTATGAATTTGCTTTATAATTTTGAGACAGTAGAATTAATGCGTATTAAATGATATCGAACCCATTACTTACAGTAACATTTTTATAGACTAAAATAATACAGACGCAGAATTAAACACGAATCCAAACAAGAATGATTTACGAGTATGATATATAATATATAAATAACATTTTAAAATAGTATACAAATGACAATTACTAAAAATAAATACTGAGTGATAAGTAAATATATGTTAATAAATATAAATAAAAGAGAAGAAATAAGGTAATATTATGCTATCTTTCTTTGAAGTTAAAGAGTATTAATGCTTAAAAAATACAAAACTATATAGTATTTTCTTGTAATTAGAATTTTCTTCTCAAAAATCGCCTTACGACAAAGGGTTTTTTTTAATATAGGTATCTAAGGAAAATTTATCTTCTTATTTGAAAAAAGTGACATAGGCATTTTTATAACTGAGATTATTGAATTCCCACGGGAATACAAGTTAAGATACATTTCAAAAAAAAATATTTATGATCAGAATTGCTTGAAACTTGGTATTATTGCTCTTGAATAAAATTGAATAAATACGTATTTTAGCATTTTTCGCAATTAATCCTATAAATGGGTAAAATAGGAGACAAAAGTTTGTATGAAACCTATCTTTTTCGAGTTTTTTTTTGTAGTTTTAGCGCGAACGAAGCCTCACGTTCTGCTAGTACATAAAAAAAGGACAAATTCACTACTTTGATATTTGATATAATCTGTGACTACATCAATCTGTCAAGTGTCTTCAATGTCAAGTTGACTTTACTTTTTTCTCGAGGTGGCGCGCTATTCGAATCGTTGCGTCACTGGACAGTTTTTGTAGAATTATTGCAGTCATAAACCAGAAATTAATACAAGTGTTTAGAAAAAAATAAGTAATTGTTATTTATGTAATTAAGTTTTTTATATTTTTTTTGTGTTTATATAAAATTATAATAATTATGATTGCGTGTTTTAATATGTTATAATATAATGATTTTAAATAATGCATTGATTAAGATTATGTTATGAATCTGTCATCGCGTTTGACGTGATCAATATACGATCTTAGAGCCACTCGGATTTGAATTATTTTATCACTGTGAAAATAGTAATACTTAGTTGCATATATTAATAAGTCAATGTAAATCGTTTAAGTGTACATATTTAGAAGATATTGTGTCAAGGTTTTAGTTTGAGATTTGTATTTTTTAAATTCTCTTCGATGTGACAAATCGAAAATGAAAAAAAAAACACAAACGAACAAAATTTTTTATATGCCAGAGTCAGAATTACTTCTATCCAGTTCCTACTCTAGGAAACGTCCTGGAATAGAACAAAGTCTCGGCTTAAACAAAAAAACAATCGTTGAGCCCTCGACTGCTAACCCCTCTATCCAAATATTTTATTTGAATCCCGTTTACTATGAATTAATAAATGCTCACTCCGACTCTGACATCGGACCTTTCATTATCAATGTTGCAAGAGAAGAACCAGACCAGTTTTCGCGCAATTAAATTTGGTGAATTTGTTATATTTAAAAATAAATTCCAAGGTATAGTCAAAGATGAAGTCAAAAAAATTGACCGTAACAAAATTAGCATCGAATTCTCCTTCGCCACATCTGCTGACAAGTTTATAAATAATTCGTTAAGAATTATCTGGGAGCCTGAAGTTTCCTAGTGCTTGCGGTGAAATTCGTAAAACCTGAAGATTGAATCGGAAATTATTTGTGGATGGATGACCTAATTGGATTCCAATTTTCAACTCAATCAGCCGTTTTAACGTTTAGGGGTCAGATGCTATCAAATAAGGTATACGCGTTTTATTCTTCTCTCAATGTTGAAACTAATAACCTTCCAAGATCCCGGGTCTTCAACCTCTGATTTTCATTTGCGAATCATTTCCAACATGATTGATGAACCACTTGTCTTACGGCAAAGGAAAACTACAACAACAAACCCGCACTTGGCCAGCGTGGTGGACTATAGCCTGATCCCCGTCTTATTGAAAGGAGGCCTACCCCCAGCCCTGGATTTACACTAGGGGCACTCGGGGCTAGTGCTCAGGGCGGGAAATTTTTAGGGGCGGCAAAATTCGGAGGGTGGGAAAAAAAATTCTTCGAGTTATATCGAAAGTCGGGAAACAAAAATCAAAATAAATCCGCGAAATAATCCGAAAAGATAGTTTTATTTAAAATGTCAAATATTCGCATAAATCTAAGAAAGTATTAGTACTCGTAGGTACACTTTTCGAAAAATTGTTATCATTTATAAATCATTTTTTGTATTTTTCAAAATATTTATATATTTTAAAAACATTTAAACTCAATCGAAACTTTATCCATTTTATGCAAAATTTCGATAAAAGGGCGGCATTTTTTAAGATGCTCAGGGGCGGCGCTAAGGTTAAATCCAGCCCTGCCTACCCCCAGCAGTGGGACCAGTTTTATTCAGAAATGGAATATTGTAGAAAATACCTACTCCCTATAAGTAATCCACCTGACCATGTATTCATCATTTATACAATACTTTCTGAGATTTCATGATTAATCAGTTGAGAACCAACGAGTGATATTTTTGAGACAAGTAAATTCATATTATTTTTATTGATATTCCGGCTAATGTTGAATAAGAGAGAGTCCGGGTATAGAGTAGATTTTTTAAATAAATTGGAGGTTAATCCTCATTATAACTTAAAAAAAACACGAACTATACTAGTGATAAAGCTTGGTGACTAAACAGTTAACTAAACAGGTACCTAAGTCTTAACGTCTGGTAAAAAAATGCTTAGACAACCGATGTACCTGTGCAGGATGTGCAATTTTTCTGTACAGTCACTTGTACAGTAGCCTGTACAGTCACTTGTACAGTAGCCTATAATATGGAACAATCAAATAAAACAACCGTTTAAGATAGTGATATTGGGATATTAGCGGTACCACAAAGTATGTTAGTAAATATTTGAACTTAACCTACACTTCATTTACATAATCTGTAATAGAATGCCAATTGAATATCAATAATGAGTTGATTACTCGCGGAGCTGAATCGATTATAGTTAAACTTAGCTGAGTTTAAAAGAATCAATTAAGTTATAATAACTTTTAAAACATGCATTATAATATGTACCTACATACATATTACAATATAATATATTATTTTTAAACTATATCCCTTGCTTAGTCGAGGAGAATAAACATTATGCTGCTTGCTAATGCTTGATGTTTGCCTTCGATGCCTTTTTTCTTTTTATCGTTGGGAAATGTATTAATGCATACCATCTGAATAAGTATAGGTGGTTTTTTGGCACTCACCAGGCAGAAGAGCTAGTACTACCCACTAAAACCAAACGGAATCTTCTCCGTCTTAATGGAACGTCACAGGATCGTTTCGCACTCAACCACGATGCCCTGACGGCTGCTTGTCGAGGCATAAAATAATAACCAAAGGGTTGCTCCCACGGTCCACTCTGCTATCAGAGAAGTACTAGGTGCAAGCCGCATAGTAACCCCCCGAGGCCCACCGAGTTGGACCACTTGCCAGCCTACATTTTTTTAATTGTGACAGCCATTTTTTGTTTTTATTAATTGTCAAAAAAACTTAAAAATATCCGATGAACGCTATTTCATCGTTATTCAACGCATTGAGTTAAATTAATGTATACTTTTTATATAGTTAAATAATTAAAAAAATACGTTTCACATATAAATGACTGTTTTCAAAAGTTCTGACGTTTGTATTTGAAATAGGCAGTTAATATAGCCGTAAGAAATCTATATGTAGAATAGAAATTGTCTATTTTGTTTATTTTTCTTAGCCCCAAGTCTTTTAATCAAGAATTAAGTATTTCAAAATACGTGTAATAATATATAGTACAATAAATAAATAAATAATTCATAGACTATATCACTCAAGTATATTTAAATAAATATTTTGGGGCATTAACACACAGCACCATCTAGTTTCATGGTAAGCTACGAGGCTTGTGATATGATACCAGCAAAAGAGTTTTTATCTATACATATAATAAAATAGTAACAAAGCAAAATCTGTACATGAAATATTTTTTAAAAACAATGTCTTATGTACGGAAAATAGGCCCAAAAATAATAGTATTGTATGTATGTCTGTGTATATTTCACGCAAAGAGTACCAAACCGCTTTAAACTAAATATTGTGTAGTGATAACTTATTACTCGGGTCAACATTTAAGATACCTTTTATTACAGGAAAATCTTGTATTCCCACGGGAATACACAATAACCAATTTGGTTGAATCGTCCTTAGAAATTTACATGGCTAAGCCTTAAGAGATACATCAAAATAATGTACTACAAATTGTAGGTCATAAAATGGCCTACAGAAAAGTCCGCAGTACCACATGTCTATCTTCTTAAATAAAAAAAATAAGTGCGTTAAGGTAAACCTTCACGAGCGATTGAAGTAAAATTTCTTTAGCGCTGTGGCAGATACTGCAACTAAATTAAAACAAATCAAATGAACATTCATTTTTATAAGTAATAATTATTATAAAAATATAAATATAATATATTTTTTTTAATTATTAATAATTTTGACTCTCACTTCCGCGACACTCAGTTTTCCAATGTATTGGACTTACCCCTCAGTCACGCCTAAACAAGTTTTACTTCAAAAACTTACCTAAGAATGTACTTGAGTGAATTCGAGTGCGGTCGAACGAAACTAGTGTAAGCCGCTAGTTCATTATAAATTTGCACTTTCTTCTCTTTTTGAATTACTTGTACTTTAATTACTTTATACAAATAAGGTAAACTAACTTCAAATCTACTTGACTATTATGATAAACTAGCGATTAGACTTCGCTCCGCTCGAGTTCGTCCCTTGGTACGTTTTAACGGCTATTATAGATTTCTCAGAGATGACATATTTTCCCGCAGTAAAAAGCATCCTAAATGTTGAACCGGATAACCAGCAATCATTATACTAAATTTCATCACAATCAAATCCAGTGATTCGCTCGTGATTCGTTCCCAGACAGACAGACAAAAATTCTAAAAACTATAGATTTGAATTCTGTATCGATAATTATGCCTATTTCAATAAGAATCTCCAAAAAAATTTAAAAATTTAATATTATATATAAATAATACTATCAATAAACTACCTCCTTATTTGTACTCATAATAATTTATTTTAAAATTTCAAAAACTTCAAGTTTTTATGATCAATTTGAAAAAAATATAAACATATGTATGTTTGTTCGTATTTATTTAAATAAAAACAACATCGTCGTCTGAACAGTGTTTGATCTTTGCCCTTCTTTATTTGAATGCCAGCTGAAAAGGTGCGAAATGCTTATGTCACTTATGAAAAATTTCCACTCTACCACCATGATTTACGCAAAAAACTACAATAACATCAACTCATTGCTTTTTGCTACGTGACAGATGGATAGATCGACAAAAACCACATATAATGTTATATAATAATAAGTTTATTTATTTACTACTAACACTAACAAGATATACATTATCAAAGACACAGAATTATAGCATGCCCTTAAGGAGTCTAAATGCTATCTTAATATTATAGGTGTTACACGCATTCCAAAGAAAAACGTACATACATATATGTAATAAAGAACAATAGGTACGTACATACAGTAAAAATTACATAAGACAATATAACCAGTTATTTAATCAAAAAGAAATAGAATTGAGTTAAAACATAATTCATTGAAATATTAAAAGTCCAATTAAAATTATAAAAAATGTACAATATACTATGGACCTACTCTTGCAGTTTCAGCGTCAAAGTGTAACAAACAATTGTACACACATTGTGTATGTATATACTTTCGAATTTATTATAGTAGTTCGTTATATATTATTATATATAGAATTTATAATTTTATTTCTAAAATTACAGCGACTTTAGAGCATTTCTCATTAAAGCTCACCAGCAAACCTTCACCTCTTTAAAGGTGCAAAGAGTGCCGTAACATATTATGTGACAATAATAGTCAAGCACGAGTCTGATAAAGAGCAGGGATTGATATATTGTGGTTATCCACAATATATTAATATTAAATATGTAGTATATAAAAACTTTTTTTTATATTTTACTCTTTATTCGGGAAACAAACAATACATTATTAAATATAGGTATAATAAATAAATTAATTAAAAAAAAAAACAAACATTTTCAAAAATTACCTTTTCGATCGTATAAATTATGTAACTTAAAGTTTTTTTAGGTATTATTCTCTGCAAACCCTTTCATTTGATATCCATATCATGTATTCAGCCCTTTATAACGTCCCACTGCTGGACACGGGCCTCATAGTCCACCACGCTGGCCAAGTGTGGGTTGGCGGACTTCACATTTCTTTCGATAACTCGTTAGGTTATCTCAAACATGCAAGGTTTTCACGATGTTTTCCTTCACCGTAAGACAAATAGTAATCATGTTGAAAATGATTCGCACATGAAAATATGTGAGATGCGAGACCCGGGATTTGAACCCGCTTCATGTCATCCATATGTGCATGTAAAACTTCAGCTCAGTCAATTGAAGATAGATAACTACTTTAAAATTCAGTTGCAAGATTTGAAAGATTTTTATTGCGATCATATTTAATTTACGCGATAGAGATGCACGTGTGTCAATTCGATTAATTCGTCACACATTTACACGTCACAACATCACCGGTTTCTATTTAGAAACAACAGCTTCTCGCGCAAGAATCCAGTTCTTGCAAAATGAATTTACCGAGTTTTAAAGTTTATTAACGTATGAATAGATAAAGCTTATATCTGGAGATAGAAATTTTACAATCATCTCCTTTCATGAGTAAATTTAAAATGGCAATGATCCCATAAAGAAGAGATATGTACATGTTTTGTACTTACTACTCTTGTTATATGTATGTATGTCTTCGATTACATAATACTATGTTCCCATGTTAACTTGTTTCCATCTGCTTATTTCACTTTTAATGCAGTCGGATTTTTGTTTCTAAATATTTTTTTATCTATACATATAATAAAATTGTAACTAAGCCGAATCTGTACGTTAAATATTTTTCGGAAAATCTTATTGAAATAGACATTATTATCTATATAGAGGCCGAATCTATAGATTTTAGAATTTTTGTCTGTCTGTCTGTCTGTCTGTTACCGCATCACAGAAAAACCACTGGAGGGATTTTGATGAAATTCGGTATGGTAATAGCTGGCTATCCGAGTCAACATTTAGGATACTTTTTACCGCGGGAAAATATCTCATTTTTGAGAAAAAATACAAAAACTGCATTGTAAGAGTATACTAATATGTAAAACGTAAGAATTTGCTTTTTAGTAATTTGAACGCGGGCGGAGCCGCGGGCAATGCTAGTGTTATTATAAGTGTTACGTGACGTCTCCGCCATCTTTAAAAGCTTTGTTATAATTGATTGCAATAAAAATAATTTATAAACTAAATATAGCCAATTTCTGTTTTTTTTGTATTTATATTTATAGACCAATTCATCTCTACGTTATTATGAATATAAACGAGCTTTTTCAAATTAAAACGATTAGTCAATATAAATTAGTTATGGTGATCAGATTATTCGTTTATAATTTTCCTTAAAATACTCTTGAAATAAAGGTTACGTGGTTATTTTAATAAATTCATATATAAAAACTTAAAAGAATACCGAGTATTTTAATTATTTTCAAAATAATTTGCTGTAAAATTCGTATTTATAAAAGACGCTTCGAATAATAATTAAAATTGTAAAATTTTTAAACTTGCTTTGAACAACTGTGACTACGAAAATTCAAAACTAATCAAACGAGCCCACATCCAAATCCAAAGTTTAGACTTACTTTGACTGTATTAGCGTAAACAAACATACACACAAATGGACAAACTTTCGCATGTCTAATAACTTCATGATATGATAACTAATTTAAATACAATGAATGAATGAATTACTCTTTATTGTACACCCAAAAAGAGAAAAGAAAATATACAAAATATAGAAGAAGGTAAAAGAGGCGGCCTTATCGCTAAAAGAGCGATTTCTTCCAGGCAACCTTTAGGTGTAGGAAATAGTACTAAGAGAGAAGGGGCGCGAATAATAAATAAAGAGATAATAGAAGGAGTATATATTTATACATATACGTATAATATTAATGAATGATATTTTTGTTTTAGCGCCAAAATGGTGTTGAGCGCGAAGAAGACGATTCAACATGTACCCAGCAAGGGTAAGATGTCCATCAGGAAAATTCAAAACTTCACCGTACAAAAAAGACGTAAGTATTATTTAATTATATTCAGCCCTTTATAACGTCCCAATGCTGGGCACGGTCCTCCCGAGGACCGAAGAACGAGGGGGATCAGGCCATAGTCCACCACGATGTTTTCCTTCACCGTAAAACTGGTGATAATCATTTTAAATAAAACTATCTTTTCGGATTTTGTCGCGGATTTATTTGGATTTTTGTTTCCCGACGTTTCGAATGCTTTACAGCATCCATGGTCACGGGAGAGACTGAGGTGTTACATGTCTTGAATGTATAGTTGTTACAGACAGCCTACCCACAATTAACAAAATGAAAATTGCACCAATTACATTACAATATTTTTTAACTTTAAACATTTTTATAATTTTAATTATAATTGAATATGGAAAATTATTTATTTAATTTTGCTATTATTTTTATAATTATTACAATTTTAAAATATTAATTGGTAATCTATATTTAGTGTTGCCATTATTATATTTATAACCATAAAGAAAAATATAAAATGTAGTATTAATTATTAAAGCCATATAATTGTTCTATGTGTAATTTAAAAAGTTAAAATTAATTAAGGATAATAATTTTAATTTAGTTTGCTATTATTTAAAAACAACTTACTAAGCAACACTATTAATATATACTTTTACAAATGAAAAATGAAAAATATTAGTCTGATAAGCTGTCATTTTGATCTACACAGTATGAACTTACTACATCTGCCTGTCTGTTATGTTTATATTTATTATTTGATTTTATTATATTAATAACAGGATCCCATGACGATGGTAGTACCCAGCCATCTTCCCTATTGAAATTAGGATGTTTTTTAATTTCTATGGCTTCTCGAATCATTCTAGGGCGATATCGGTTTTCTTTCGCCAGGATTTGAGGTCTATCGAAGCGAATATAATGGCTTGGGCGGTCCTGACTATGTTTGCAGACATTGTCTGCATTCAATAGGGAAGATGGCTGGGTACTACCATCGTCATGGGATCCTGTTATTAATATAATAAAATCAAATAATAAATATAAACATAACAGACAGGCAGATGTAGTAAGTTCATACTGTGTAGATCAAAATGACAGCTTATCAGACTAATATTTTTCATTTTTCATTTGTAAAAGTATATATTAATAGTGTTGCTTAGTAAGTTGTTTTTAAATAATAGCAAACTAAATTAAAATTATTATCCTTAATTAATTTTAACTTTTTAAATTACACATAGAACAATTATATGGCTTTAATAATTAATACTACATTTTATATTTTTCTTTATGGTTATAAATATAATAATGGCAACACTAAATATAGATTACCAATTAATATTTTAAAATTGTAATAATTATAAAAATAATAGCAAAATTAAATAAATAATTTTCCATATTCAATTATAATTAAAATTATAAAAATGTTTAAAGTTAAAAAATATTGTAATGTAATTGGTGCAATTTTCATTTTGTTAATTGTGGGTAGGCTGTCTGTAACAACTATACATTCAAGACATGTAACACCTCAGTCTCTCCCGTGACCATGGATGCTGTAAAGCATTCGAAACGTCGGGAAACAAAAATCCAAATAAATCCGCGACAAAATCCGAAAAGATAGTTTTATTTAAAATGTCAAATATTCGCGTAAATATAAGAAAGTATTATGGTGATAATCATGTTGGAAATGATTCACACATGAGAATATCAGGGGTGCGATCATTCATTTAATCTTACATTAAGATACTAGGAAAGATAAGAATATATTTAAGAACAAGTTTTTTTTTAAAGAAAAAGACTTTACAAAAACTTGTTTTATAAAAATATATTTTTATAATTTATTTATTAACACTAAAGGTCGTCAGTCGCTACTAAACAAAAAAAAGTTATATTTATCAGAAGTTCAAGGATTTTTTCAAATGTTCCGAAATATCTATTAAAGTTATTATGACGGATATATATACATAGTAAATATATATATTTAAAAATAATATATATACAAAAACCAAGAGAAAAAATTGCAAAATTGTTGGATGAGCTGTGAACGTCATGTTTCCTTAGACCCCCGACAACCCTTGTCACATCTTATCACAGTAAGAATTTGTTCACCTGAAAAATAAATTTCTGCAACGACTGACTATCTATTGATTGATCATAGAGACCGTTTTTTTATTTTTTTTTGGGAATGTTGGGAAATGAATTTATACCATCTGTATACTTACCAGGTAGTTATGTGGGACTCACCGGCTAGAAAAGCCAGTACTACCCACTAAAACCCAACAAAACCTCCCCCGTCTTAATGGAGTATCGCAGGATTGCTTAAGCATTCAACTACGACACCACGAGGCATGTCTGCCAAAGCAGACCACAACCATGGCTGCTTCAACGGTCCACTCTGTTAACAGAGAAGTACCAGGAGCAACACGCCTGGTACACCGCCCACCGAGGTGGGCCGCCTTCTAGTGCGTTTATTGGGGTCGCGCCCAGTTATATTGAGAAACCTAGAGACCTGAGCAAAGCGAGGTTAAATCGCTAGTATTCAAGCACATTAAATAATTTATTTTTAATTTTTACACACGAAACCGGTATAAACCAGTCATTTACCATGATTTAAAAATAATGATCACTATGAAAAAGTATAGTTATTATCCGCCCATTTACGTATCCAACTTCTTACAAAGCTTCGAACAAAAAAGTGTTTAAAGACAATACACTATTATAAATTCACAAAAACATAACAGTTGAGTCTTTAAATATGTAAATGTAAAACGTACATTCAATTTTTTTTCATAGTCTACAAGCACTAGCATAAAACCTTGGTGCTTAGAAAAAATGTCATTCTAGTACAACAGTTGAGGAATAGAAGTTTAATAAATTATATTGAAATGTCACATTTAATGTTTCTTTTATAGAATCATAATATAATATTCTCATACATACAACGATTGTAGAATGATCTTATTTGTTTATTGTCTTGTCTAAGCAATTATTTTGTTACTACATAATATTAAAATCTAGTGAATTACCCTTGCTCCGCTCGAGTACATCCCTAGGTACATGCACATGTCGTTGTTATACAGTTTAATTGGAAGATCTTTTTAAGAGGAATAATTTTGTAATATATGGTTTTAATATAACTCTATTACTTTACGCGGTGCACGCCAAGAAAGCTCCCAGTCGACATGACTTTTTCCGACATCTTCAACAATTATCATTATATTTTAGCCATGCAAAACCTTATCCTAACCTTATGAATTATATACCTAAACCTTCCTCATGAATCCATATATCTATTGGTGAAAACCGTATCAAAATCCGTTCGGTAGTTTTAAATAAATTCGGTAGTTTTTGAGTTTATCGCGTTCAGACGGACAGACATAGAGACAGACAGACGCGGCGGGAGGACTTTATTTTATAATGTATAGTGATACAAAAGTTTGTTAGTTTGTTTTTTATGCTCAACGAAGCAACGCATCGAATCGATTTTTGCAATAAGGTAGTATATGAGCTGTACATATTATTTATGGCAAACTTATTGAAAAAGGCATGATCAAAGCGTGGGCAGTCCCTAACATAGACCTCCCTAACACAAGACGTAACTTTTTGCTTCAAAACACCTATTAAAATTGTATTCTATATATAAGTATAGATTTATTATTTACTAGTTTCCACCAGCAGTTCCGCCCGCACCAAATGCATTTTTTCTTTCCTACATATTTGAGCACCGCCATCTAAATACTTAATCAATTTACACATTACTAGGTTTTAATAAATTATAATTTATATTGTTGCAGAGTCAGTTATAAAAGCAGTGTATGGTGTTTTCTTGGTGTTACTCTCCATCGTGTTGGCTATAGTGGATCCAGTCAATATATTTACTACTTGGGTAAGTTAACATTATTTTTAATTAACTTATTTTACATTTTAAATAAAATAAAATTATCATTTATTTATCTTTGGATCCCGACGTGACGTTTCGAATACAATCAAATACGGTATAATCTCTCCCATGACTACGTAAACCGCGAAAAAATCAAAACAGATACTTTTATTTTATTTCCTTTAAAAAATCACAAATTCGCATACATCTAAGAAAGTATAAACTTATTACAACTGAAACAAAGAATGATTATACTCAGAGAGAGCCGTATTTAGGATAGTGGGACTACACAAAAGCACGCTCTTTACCAAATGTATCGATTGGGACTCGTCAAAACGAATAAAAACAACCAAATATTAATAGCAGCCATTGATGAATTCTAATTCTACCACACACATATATTATAAGCATTAGAAATCGATAGGCCACTTAGAAGGTAAAATGGACTTTTAAGATTAGGTAAGATATTTAAAAGAAATGCTAATAATAGAACGTGTTATAAACTAACAATAAAATATGCTCGAATGTCATCTATACATATAATAAAATTGTAACTAAGCCGAATCTGTACATTAAATATTTTTTGGAAAATGTTAGCGAAATAGACATTATTATTGATACAGAGGCCGAATCTGTAGTTTTTAGAATTTTTGTCTGTCTGTTACCGCATCACAGAAAAAGCACTAGAGGGATTTTTATGAAATTTGGTATGGTGATAGCTGGTTATCCGGATCAACATATAGGATACTTTGTACCGCGGGAGAATGTCTAATTTTTGAGAAAGAATACAAAAACTGCAGCGTAAGTGTATATAAACTAATATGTAAAACCTAAGAATTTGGTTTTTTGTCATCTGAACGCGGGCGGAGCCGCGGGCAATGCTAGTTTCAAATAAATATTCAAACTTATCTTGCTAATGTAACGCAACGTCCCGAAGGTAAATACATGAAAACAACGTAATTTGCTAGTAGTTTCAACATATTATGATAATATTATCGTTACGAGGTCAAAACTTTATTGATTATTATCCAATATTTTTTAAAGAATGTTTGGGACACGGATTATCTTATCGAATATAAGTCGACGGATTTACTAAAAAAAAAACCGTCAAGTGCGAGTCGAATTCGCATACAAAGGGTTCCGTACCATCGTAAATGTACATTTTATTAATATGACTTTTACTATATGTATGTAGTATTATAACTTCGATGATCGATTACGAACGTTAAAAATTTTTTTCTTGTATTTTTATTTATTTGTATTATTTGTTGCTATAGCGGCAATAGAGATACATTCATGTTCATGAGATACAACCGTCTGACAGACGGACGGACGAACGGACAGCGGAGGCTTAGTAATAGTGTTCCGTTCGCACTCTTCGGGCACGGAACCCTAAATATAAAAATAAAATGTCGAATACAAAAGTATAATTTATTTTCGTTTTTTTTTGTATTTATTCAAGTTTTTAGTTTTTCTATTAATGAAAATTGTACTTTTTAACCAAAAACTCCGAACGAAGCTCGGTGGCCCAGGCCACCGATATTTTTGTGCCGTAGAGATCAGAGGAATATTATTTCATCATAATGGAGATGTTTGGGTGATTGTAATGCGGTCCCAGGACCCAAAAGCTGAGAAATAATTAACTAAATAAATTGCGCTTGCGCAGCTCTGTAAATTACTATAAAATACCAATTTTATTAAAAAAAAAAAAACAATTAAAAAATTATTCATTTGTTCTCAATTTGAGTCTATTAAGTAATTTAAAAAAATCACATATTTTGGGAGCCGTGCGTATTAATTACGAACTACATAGAAAAAAATACACGTGTTTCTCCACAGGCAGTATTATATATAGGCAGTATTATATTATGATATTTTTAATGTACGAGTACAAGATAATTAAGAGCGTGTTATATTTACAGAATACACATTCTATTCTCATACATAATAAATATCTAGACTATTTAAATATTCGTACTTGGATGTTTAAAACCTTTGCTGTCAAACTGCAAATAAATACAAAAAATAAAAGATATTTTACAGCTCAATTTTGACAAGGTTTTTGCTCTTGACCTCAACGTGTTCATCATCTGTATATCACTGAAGTAGTTACAGTCATTAATTCATATACCAATTATAATAAACTATTTAAGTATATGTATTTGTGTATAGCAAACGACGACACGTTTGGCTCAGTTTGTAGTCCTTTTCGCAGTACTAACGGTCGCGGGTTCGAGTTCCATTGAGGGCATTCAATTGTGTGATGAGCACGAATGTTTGTACTCCAATCATGGCTGTTTATTTATAATATGTATTTATATTTATAATATATATGTATTTAAAGTTATACTAGCGACTCACCCTCGCTTCGCGTGGGTTCGTCCCTAGCTTTATTCCCCATGCAAACTTTCATCCCCGTTTTCTCCCCTTAAAGCATGATTTCCGGAATAAAAAATACCCTATGTTCTTCCCAAGATCTCAAACTATCTACTTACTAAATTTCATTTAAATCTGTTGAGTAGATCCAGAGATTACCCCCTACAACCTCACAAACTCACAAACTTTACCTCTTTATAATATTAGTATACATATGTGTAGTGTATCAACGATCTGGTATCCATAACACAAGCCTCGTAGCTTACCATGAAACTAGATTGTGCTGTGTGTTAATGTCACAAAAAAAAAATACACCGCCTACCATTTCATATAACTACTCCAACGCCCTAAAGTTCCCTGAAAAAGAAGGCTTATAGCAATAGAGCCACCTCCTGTGCTTCACCTATGAATTAATTATTATTTTTTCTTTCGATTTCCTCTTTTGTAAAGTATCTTATCTATCTAAGGACAAGATTGGACATTTTTTTTTTGGACATTAAAAATATTTGCGTAAATTAATTTAATTATATATTCTAAGCGTATATTTTTAAAGTTGTTTCGTGCGTCAGTAGATTTAATTTAGCCTAAAGCTACAGCGTGACTACTGAACTGAACACGTACGTATATTTAAGCTTGGTGAAAATACATGTTCAACCGGTATTTAGCTGTATTGACGCATTTTGTATTTGATACATGAGTGTGAAAACAGTCATATAATCTGTCTTATAAAAAAAGATTTATCTTTTAAAATACTAGTTATTAATTCTTGCTTCTCTAGGGTGCCTTCCTCGGTACGTTTTAACTAGATATGAATAATTATTGCGAGTGTACTTTAGGAGATAGTCTTATGCTATTGTAGATCTTTCTGTAGGCCTTATTAAGATCTACAATTTTCTAGTACATCGTTTTGTTGTATCTCTTAAGGTTTAGCCTGCGTTAGACATGTACATTTCTAAGTACGGCTTGATAAAACCAGTTATTGTGTTTTCCCGTGGGAATGAAAGATTTCCCTGTTGCAAAAGGTATCTTAAATGTTGACCCAATCAATAAGTTATCACTACACAAAATTTAGTTAAAATCGGTTCAGTACTTTTTGCGTGAAACGCGCACATCGATTTCGCAAAGTTGCTGTTTTATTATATGTATAGTTGTTGTTAAAAATCAATTACCTACTTATTAGGGTTCCGTAGCAAAAAGGCTCCCAAAAAAAACTCCAAAAAAACGGAACTCTCATTAGAAACTAGCGACTCGCTCCTGCTTTGTAGACAGACCCTAAAAAAATCTTAGTGACCTTTAGTGGACCAACTTGACGCAATGGAAAAATATAGTATAGTATAAAAATCGTTGTCTCTATTACTTCCCGCCCCATTAAGCACAAACAAGGCTATTTATGCTCATATAGAATAAAACAAAAGTCGTAGGAATAATAATTGCTTGATAAAAATCATAGTTAAAACTCTGCCGAAATTTTTATTATAAAATATATGTACATCTAGGTACATGACTGCGCTTTTTAAGATAGCCATTACGAGTATATTTATTATACAATGAATTTTTATGTCGCAAATTTCTACAAAAATAAAATTTCGGACAACTTTTCATTTTTTTCCAAAAAACCTTATTTGGACTGTTACGAACATTTGCAAAAAAAAGTAGACACATCAGTCAAGAAACACACAGGGAGAGCATGGAGACGGTGTACGATGCGGGTTGCTCCTGGTACTTCTCTGACAGCAGAGTGGACTATGAGAGAATCCCTTGGTTGTATGGTTTACTTCAGCAGACCTGCGATATAAGCGATCCTAGGATGCCCATTAAGAATCCGTTGGGTTTTAGTGGGTAGTACTGGCTTTTCTAGCCGGTGAGTCCCACATAACCACCTGCTTGTATGCAGGTGGTATGCAAAAATGCATTTCCCAACGTTAAAAAAAATGAGTCCCTCGTTGTATTTAAAATATATAGATGTAGCGCCATTTTCCGGCTTCGATTACTAACAGTAGCCTATTTGTCAATCCAAGTATACTTACTTGAGTATTAAATTTCACCCAAATCGGTCGTTTCCGCGTAAAAGATTAACTAACATACACATATGTATACATAAAAACTCGCATTTATAATAACGTTGTTATAACATACTCGATGTACGGTTTGTATAATTTCTTTCTTCTTATTTCATAAGTGCTTCTGAAGGTTTTCTTTAATTAAATTGTTAGTATAGACTATTATAACTCTTTCAAAATTTTAAATAAAACTATGTTTATGGATTCAAAATTCACTTTGCATTCGAAAAAAGCCAAAAATCAAAATAAATCCTAAGGAATTCGAAAAGATAGTTTTATCTAAAATTAGCGGCTCACCCTCGCTCCGCCCGGGTTCGTCTTTAGTGAAAAACAAAAACAAATCTATCCCACGGGAACTGTGCATTTTTCCGGGATAAAAAGTTGCTTATGCTATTGCAGACTATAATCTCTCTGTTTGAATGGGAGTGTCTCTAATTGTGAAATTCGAGACAGTGTATTCACTGAGTGTACCGTGTATAATGTCTTAGTCTAAACCAGTCAGAGTTGCATAAACCCTATAGGTAAAGCTTTTTAATAATTGTTCGTTTTAGGACAGATTCGTTTTACGAC